TGCCTTCTCTGCTTCCACTTCTCTTCTTCCTGCACTGCTGCTCTCAGACTGTTCAACTGTTGATTTCATTGTCAGTGGCTGCCTGCAGGACTAAAGATATCTGCATCTGTTTAAAAAAAAAAAAGGCTGAAGAATCCAAGGCACCAGTAGGCCATCCAGGACCTAGCACTGAGTGCAGCCAGAATCCTGCAGGTTCAAGCATCCCCTTCCACCTTTCTCAGTGGATGGGAAATCCATGTAAGATCAAAGAGTAATCTGGATGGTGATTGGATTCAGGTGGGTGAGTACTGACCATGGACAGGTCCAAAGCCTTCACAGAGAGCAACTTCCAGGCTGTAAACCACAGGTTACCAGGGCTTTGTGCTAGGTTCTCTAGGATTGTGAATTATAGGCTGGTTTTTCTTTGCTTTATGTCTAAAAGCCACTTATGAGTGAGTGCATGTGGTAGTTTTCTTTCTGGATCTGGGCTACCTCACTCGATATGATGTTTTCTAGATCCATCCATTTGCCAGCAAATTTTAAGATATCATTGGTTTTTTTTTCTGCTATGTAGTACTCCATTGTGTAAATGTACCACCTTTTCCTTATCCATTCTTTGGTCAAGGGGCATTTAGGTTGTTTCCAGGTTCTGGCTATGACAAATAATGCTGCTGTGAACATAGCTGAACACATGTCCTTATGGTATGATTGAGCATCCTTTGGATATATACCCAAAAGAGGTATTGATGGGTCCTGAGGTAGGTTGTTTTCTACTTTTCTGAGAAATCACCATACTGATATCCAAAGGGGCTACAGCAGGTACACCAGGTTGCATATACACCAGCAATGCAGAAGTGTTCCCTTTACCCCACATTCTCTCTAACACAAGCTGTCGTCAGTGTTTTTGATCTTGGACATTTTTACAGATGTAAGATGGAATCTCAGAGTTGTCTAACCATCTTTCAAACCCATATCTCCACATCCCATAGGGGCACCCACAGCTCACCAACTGCTCTCAGAAGCTCTACAATGAACCTTCTCTGACTCATACATAAGATGAATGTACAGAGTGACTTTTCCACCTACCTGAATGTCTAGTCCTCAACAGAGCTCCAAGTCCCATTCAGAGTACTCAAGCCGAGAACTAGGTACTTGGGACAGAATGTGTTAAAGTGTGGAGTTGAATAAGCAAGGTAGGACAGGGTGAAACCTGTCAGAACAGAATCTGAAAGAATACGGGTAGGCAAGATAGGGTACCTGGAATAGGGTCCCAGAGGACTCCAGCCATGAGGCAGAGGCTGGGAGACCAACTCAACCCTAGCAAGTAGGCCCAGCTCTGGCCATCTCATTGTACAGATCCAGTTTCCTTACCTGGCTATTTCTAGGGCACATGTCTACAACACTATAATGACTAATCCTGGTTATCAACTTGACACACTTGGAAGGATAAAAACCTCTATTAAGGAATTTCCTGCATCACATTAATCTAGGGGAATGTCTGTGGGCCTTTTCTTGACTGGTAACTAATGTAGGAAGGCCAAGCTCACTGTGGGTGGTACCATCCTTAGGCAGCTGGGCCTGGACCATATAAGAAATATAGCTGAGCAAGCCAGAGGCAGCAAGGCAAATAAGCAGCATTCCTCCATGATTTTTGTTTCATCTCTGCCTATGATTCTGTCCTGACTTCCCTAAGTGATAGATTTTAAGTTATAAGATGAAATAAATCCTTTCTTCCCCAAGTTGCTTTTGGTTGTGATATTTATCATAGCAACAGAGAAGCAAACAAGAACAACTATGTATTTTTCCTGGCACATGTCCATAGTACGTAGAGCAGAAATCTTCAGACTTAGACCATGGATACTGCGGAAGAGGCACACAGAAAGCAGAATTGTAAATAGGTGGATTTATTGTGTGGTAGTGATCCACACTAGCTCTGCACAGCTGAGAGGTGACAGAAAGGTCCAGAGCTTCCTCCTGGGATGTCATATCTTGTCACACTGCAGCCTATAAGGCATATTGTGCCACAGGAGGTGACTAAGACCCAAGCAGGCAATAGTGCCTATTGTTTAGCTAGACCTCTGCAGTGAGTAGTAAAGAAAGCCTATGACTGCTCAAACTGTAGACTGGGAAGTCCTTAAATACATCTTCCACTCCCTTATCAGAAACTGAGGAACTACAGCAGGAGCAGGTGTTCCCTGGAAGACCTGGGGCAGCCCTACGCCTCTCCTTTTAAGAGACCACCTAGATAGACTTGAGAGAAAAGAGATTCTGGGAAGTGATGGGGCTTGAGGGTCCAAGACCTAGAACTCCTCCACACAGCAGGACCCCAGCCAAGAGAGCAAGAAAGGCTGGCCCTCTACTGGCTCTCACTCTTGAGCAGGAAATCCTAGGCTATGGCCCACTCCCCCTCCAGCTCATCCCACCTCCCCATGTCACCAGGTCACCAAGTCAGACACCACCTTTCCTGTTCATCTACCCCACCTGTATCCCAGGTCCCCAGGCCACGGTCACCTCCCCTCCTGATCGTCCCGTACCATCTATGTCCCCAAGGTTCTTACTTAGGTCTTATGCCTAGCTTGGAGCTACAAACCTCTATACTCCCTAGCCACCCACTGCTAACCTATAGAGCCTAGCTCTGAACAAACTCATATATGTAAAATAAAGACTCTTCCCTACCTTAGGATCTACACCACCCATCCCCCCCCCCCCGGGTCAGGAGAATACCACTGGCAAAGAACTTTATCTTAGAGCACTGAACTGCTCCCCCGTACCACCCAGAACAGCTAAGACCTCTTGCTGAGAACCAGAAGCTCTGGTGAAGACTAAGAGGGGACACATCCTCTCTGGGCATGGGTGACACCGCACCAACAATGCTGCTCCTTCAGGACCATTGCCATGGCACGTTAGACTTTAATTTAGGTCACTTTCCTGTTGTACAAATCGGATCAGAAAGCAAAGGACAGCCTGAGTGCTTGACAGGCACCCAAGTGCACCTCAGAGGTATCCAGTCATGGATAAAGTACCTCTAGGGCTGCCCAGGGAGGGGCAGTGCCCCCCTCCACCATCACAGACCTTTCTCCATGGCTGATAAACAACTCAAATACGGGTGAGTGACAAATAGAGGTGGTCCCAGCTCACATCTGCCCCTGAACTTTAATAATTGTTTTGAGAAAAATCATTGCCCCCCCCCCCTTACAGGAGAGATGACTGGCAGTTTGGGGGTTGGGATCTCCATACTCTGTGGCTAGTGTGAGGTTTGAGAGTCAAGGTCCCTGTGGTCTGTGGCTGGTACAAGGTTTTGGCTGAGCAGAGAACCACAGTGCTAACTGGGACCACAGTGACTCATGGTTCAACAAAAACCTTCTGTTTGGAGTTGCCTAGGGGCAGCCTGGGAGCTTGAGAAAGCTGACAGAGAAAAGAGTGGGTCTGAGAGGGAGGGTAAGGTTCTGGAGGGCAGGAGACAGTGCGGAGGGAAAGAGAGCTGCTGCGGACAGGTCCTGGGCTCCTAGGGCAGGAAAGCATGAGAAAACACAGGCAGCTGAAGGTGGCAGCACTCTGCCAAGGACTTGGGAGAGGATCCCAGGCCAGCGGTAGGCAGGTGAGATTTGCTAAGAGTACAGGGTAGGCATGGCTTCCTCTCTCCTTTCTTTGCTCCTTCTCCTGTTTTCTTCTCTCTTTAAAGAGTCTCAGTATGCTAGCTCACTCTAGCCTAAAAGATACCATCCTACAAGCATGCCCCGTTCAGCTGAGCTAAAGTGGAGGTCTCTCCAAACAGCTAAGTTTCTGGGGTTTGGAGCCCCCTAAGGACTCCAGGAGACTTTGGGCTGGGTTTTATTATGGCCCTAGATGTAGGGTTACCTCACTGTGTCTATGTTTACTTCGATGTCTGGGGTCAGGGGACCCTAGTCACCGTCTCCTCAGGTAAGTAACTCATCTGGGAACTGGGATTCCAAGTCTGGCTGTTGTGAAGGTTTTAGTTCAGGAGCAGAGGCAGAGCACAGGCTGTGTAGCTGGAACTTAGATGTCTGGGGTCAGGGGACCCTAGTCACCGTCTCCTCAGGTAAGTAACTCATCTGGGAACTGGGATTCCAAGTCTGGCTGTTGTGAAGGTTTTAGTACAGGAGCAGAGGCAGAGCACAGGCTGTGTTACTTACTGGTACTTCGATGTCTGGGGTCAGGGGACCCTGGTCACCGTCTCCTCAGGTAAGCTCTCTGTTCACTCCCACCTTCTCTGACTGGCAACCAGCCAAGTCTCTGGGGTCTCTAGATGATCTGTGTTAGTCCAGATTGAGGGTCAGGTTTTTGTTTGGGCAACCGTAGGGATCATGTCCCTGTGCAACGGTTTGGCTGTCTGGGGTCAGGGGACCCTAGTCACCGTCTCCTCGGGTAAGCTGGCTTTCTTTCTGCATCCTGCATTCTGAATCTGGGGAAGATATTCACAGATTTCCCCAAGTTGAGTCATCTGCAGACTCAGCATCCTGCAGATGTATTTCTGTAAGGTGGAGTCTTTGCTCCCAGGATAAGAGGCAGTCAGAGGCCTCAACCTATGGGACAGTGGCAGTCATAGGAAATGTGGCTTGGGAGGAAGAATAGAGGTTTGTGTACACCCACTAGAGGGGCTTGTGACAGTGTGACTACTTCGATTACTGGGGCCAAGGAACCATGGTCACCGTCTCCTCAGGTGAGTCCTTCCAGCCCCTCTTTTCTACTCAACTCAGACAGATTTTGCTGCATTTGTGGGGGGAAATGAGTATATCTGAGTTTCAGGTCATAAAAACTAGGGACAACCTGGGAGTCAGGAAGGGTCTTCATGGGCCCTGGCTGACACAGGCAATCACCTTCAGCTCCCAGACTTTACAGTCAGGGGTCTATGGGGATCCCAGCCACTCTTGCCGCTAGAGTCCCCTTATCCCCACTATCCTTGTCCCTCACTGGGTTCTGTCTGAGATGATATTGGGGCTGTTGTCAAGAGCCGTTTATTGTCTGGGATCTTATCATGTTTGTCACAATGTGACAACTGGTTTGCTTACTGGGGCCAAGGGACTCTGGTCACTGTCTCTTCAGGTGAGTCCTACCTTTTCCCATTCTAAATGTACTTAGGGGGACTCTGAGCTATCCGGACCAAGACTCCCTATAAGTGGGTGCTGAGATTTAATCCCTTTGCCCCCAAATTGAGACAGACAGGTCTGGGTCAGGGCTCTCTTCCCACCGGTCTGTGGAAGTGTGAGGAAGGGTCTACCAGAACTTGCAGTCTGGGCAGGCTTCCATCTAGGATTTATCAGACGCTGGTATAAATTAGAGGCTACCAGCTTCTGGTGCCAAGTCCAGAACCAGTGGTTATTTGGTTTCGCATAGGTGAGGCTGGAACATCGATCACTTTGAAAACTAAAGAGAGGTCCAGGGACATTTGCCCAGGCAAGGATTGGAGTAGGGGACAATGACTTGAATGATTGATTTTTGTGGGGCACTGGGAGTCGACATAGTGCCTGAGTAGCTCGGGGGCCACTCTAGTCAGGCTCGGGGGGTTTTTGTGTGGTATGGATGGAAATCTCACCGTTGTGATTACTATGCTATGGACTACTGGGGTCAAGGGACCCAAGTCACCGTCTCCTCAGGTAAGAGTGGCCCTCTGGGCCTTCATTTTTAACCTTTGCCTATGAAGTTTTCTGAGCATTGCAGACTAGTCCTGGAGATTTATTCCTGAGGGAACATGGGTGGCTGGCTGGCAGAATGAAGCTGGGGACTCACTGCCTAGGGATCACAGAGCCTTTTGAATATTTCTAAACCTTTGAAAGACTATTAGGGAAGGACCTGTCTGGTGGAGACCCTGGATGATGGGGTAGGGGACTTGAGAGCCTCATTTGTGTGAGATGCTGTGATGATCCATGGCTAGAGGGATAGTTTGAGATGTGGTAGGAGGCATTCAGTTTTTGGAATCACAGGGATGGCTGAGAAATGCGTTTCAGGACGGTGTCTGTGTGAACATTTGCACAGCGGCAGGCTGCTCAGTGCAGGGAGAGGAGCCGAGCACTTTCCTTAGGCTTGTGAGGCATGTTCTGCACTTGACTGTTTAAAACTTTCTTTGTTGGAAAAAGAACTGTCTGAGTGAGTAAATCAAGCAAAGACGGCAGCTAGCCTTGGTCTTAGAGATTCACAGTGGGCTCATCTCAGGAAGGTAGCCGGGGAGCCTACAGAAGTCCAGCATTCCAAAGAAACACAGAAGTGTGCCTATGGAATATTAGAGGGTATCGTTTTTATCTTTAAAGTGGTTCCTGAGAAAAATAGCTAGAATGCTATGACTTTATAATGTGGGAGATTTTTGAAGTATTCATTTTTTTAAATGTCCAAGTATCAAAAATTCTAGTCACTCAATTTGAAGTAATGTTTGTCTGTAATTGGCATTGCCAAAAGTTCAGCAAAGGAAGGGGGGATGAGGGTCTTTCATATCCTATTCAGAACTGACTTTTAATAATAATAAATTAAGTTTAAAATATTTTTAAATGAATTGAGCAAAGTTGAGTTGGAGTCAAGATGGCTGACGGGTCCAGGACACCTGCTACAGCTCACAGGAAGCAGATCATGTGGCAAGGCTATTTTGGGAAGGAAAAACAAAGCCACTAGGTAAATTTCTAGCTGCGGTTTGAAGAAGTTTTGAAATGTTTTGCCCAGCCAGGCAGAACTGAAAGTCCAGACTGAGCAAAACAACACCTGGGTAATTTGCATTTCGAAAATAGGTTGGGAATTCAGCCGAAACTGGAAAGGCCCTCTTTCTTCTAACTTAGTAATCTTTCAGTTTTACCTCGTGAAGTTCTAGTTTTCACAAACTTAAATTTATCAATTTCTAAGGTGTATTCATTTTCGAAGTTAGACTGAGTAAGAAACTGTGTAAGAAATTTCTAATGTATTTAGAAAACTTTTTGAAATTACTTAATTATTCTTCATATTATCATTATTGTTGATCTCAACTCAGTTCTTTTTCCAATACCCAAAGCACTTACAATGGCTTTGTTCATGATTTTTTTAAGCTAGTTGGTTTTGCCTTTATGATTAAGAAAGACTTTGACTTTCTGGTAAAGTTGGCTCCTTTGGCTCCCTAAGTCTTTTTCAAGACCTCTTCCTAAGTATTCATTTTAAGAGAAAGCATTTAAAAATGAATGCAGTTGGTACCCGAGAGGACACTCGGTCAGATAGTGCAAAAGAAAGAAGGCATCTAAGTCAATCCACAACAGACATGTTCTCTTTGAACTCCTTCTGACCTGGCTTCTTGTTGAAGAACTGGCCAAAAGTCTGAGACTGGGTTTCTGCTGGGCAGACCTGGACCTTGGGTCTCCCAGGACCAAGACCTGGGAATGTACAGTTTTTGTGGCTTCTGCCACTCATTCTCCTGGCTGCCTATGGACCAGCCAGTCTCGATGGCCTTGAAGTACCAATTCCACTCAAAGACCCTGGACCTCCCTGAGACCAGGCATCCTAAACGGTAAGCCAGAGGCAGCCACCATTGTGGCTGCTGCTTTAAAGCTTGTTTTTGATGGCTGTTTCTGCTTGAGAGGGACTTAGTCTTCAGTCACTGCTTTAGGAGGAGAAAGAAACATTTGTGTGTCTTTTGAGTGCTATTGTCTGGGTCACTTGCATTTAACTTTTCTTTTAAAAACCTGTAAAAGAAAAAGGTTATAGATTATGGGGCTCTGGTATTTTAAGGAAATCTTAGAGAAAGTTTATATGATCATCTGGAATTATTTCAGTTAAGTGTGTTACTTGGGTTACTAGTGCTGTCTCTGCCTCAGTTACACATGTGACTTCGAATTTTGGGTCAATACTGCCTTGTCTTAAGCCATAGATAAAATGGATGCCCAGGTGGTTGTTAATCATGGTTTTAATCTAGCAGGAACTTAAAGTGGAAGCTAATTGAGACCCAGTAAGAAAGACCCAGGCTAATGCTGGGATTCTGGAGCAAAGGATGTTTTTAGTTTTTATAGAAAACATTACTACCTTCTTGATCTACATCTCAAGATGGTCTAATGAATTTGAAGTTGCCAGTAAACATACTTCATGGTTGTTAAAGAATGGTATCGAAGAACAGTGCTTCGAAGCTAAGGTCTGTGTGAAAGGACAGGGATCAGAGTGTGGATACTCAGCATGAAGGCTGGACAGAAATGAGAACGAGATGGCTGGGCTAAATCTCCTGGTCTTCAGGATCCCAGCCACAGTAAAGAGCTGTACAGAGAAGGCTGAACTAACAAAGCTGACTGAGCAGAATTCCATGAACAAGGTTGAGAGCCTGGTAAGCAAGGCTCTAGCAAACAAAGCGGGGCTGAGACAGATGACCAGAACCGGAAAAGGCTCAGCTTCTCTGAGCTCTTCTAAGATGTACCAAGCTGAGGTAATCATTCTGGGGCAAGCAAGCAAAGCTGGACTGGATGAGCTGGAGTGAGGTAGACTGCGCTGAGTTCAGATGAGCCGGGCTAGCTTAACTGAGATGAGTCAACCTGCACTAAGTGTGACTTAGCTGAGCTGGGGTGAGCTGAGATGGGGTGAGCTGAGCTGAGCTGGGGTGAGCTGAGCTGAGCTGGGGTGAGCTGAGGTGAGCTGAGCTGGGGTGAGCTGAGGTGAGCTGAGCTGGGGTGAGTTGAGCTAGGATGAGCTGAGCTGAGCTGGGGTGAGCTGAGCTGGGGTTAGCTGGGGTGAGCTGAGCTGGGGTGAGCTGAGCTGGGGTGAGCTGAGCTGGGGTGAGTTGAGCTGGGGTGAGCTGAGCTGAACTGGGGTGAGCTGAGCTGGGGTGAGCTGAGCTAGGATGAGCTGAGCTGAGCTGGGGTGAGCTGAGCTAGGATGAGCTGAGCTGAGCTGGGGTGAGCTGAGCTGAGCTGGGGTGAGCTGAGCTGAGCTGGGGTGATCTGGGGTGAGCTGTACTGGGGTGAGCTGAGCTGGGGTGAGCTGAGCTGAAATGGGGTGAGCTGAGCTGAGCTGAGCTGAGCTGCTCAGGGGTGAGCTGAGCTGAGCTGGGGTGATCTGGGGTGAGCTGTACTGGGGTGAGCTGAGCTGGGGTGAGCTGGGGTGAACTGGGGTGAGCTGGGGTGAGCTGAGCTGGGGTGAGCTGGGGTGAGCTGAGCTGAGCTGGGGTGAACTGAGCTGAGCTGGGGTGAGCTGAGCTGAGCTGGGGTGAGCTGAGCTGAGCTGGGGTGAGCTGAGCTGAGCTGGGGTGAGCTGAGCTGACCTGGGGGTGAGCCGAGCTGAGCTGGGGTGAGCTGAGCTGGGGTGAGCTGAGCTGAGCTGGGGTGAGCTGAGCTGATCTGGGGGTGAGCCGAGCTGAGCTGGGGTGAGCTGAGCTGAGCTGGGGTGAGCTGAGCTGAGCTGGGGTGAGCCGAGCTGACCTGGGGGTGAGCCGAGCTGAGCTGGGGTGAGCCGAGCTGAGCTGGGGTGAGCTGAGCTGAGCTGGGGTGAGCTGAGCTGGGATGAGCTGAGCTGAGCTGAGCTGAGCTGGGGTGATCTGAGCTGAGCTGAGCTGAGCTGGGGTGAGCTGAACTGAGCTGGGATGAGCTGGGGTGAACTGGGATGAGCTGAGCTGGGATGAGCTGGGGTGAGCTGAGCTGAGCTGAGCTGGGGTGAGCTGAGCTAGGATGAGCTGAGCTGAGCTAGGATGAGCTGAGCTGAGCTGGGGTGAGCTGAGCTGAGCTGGGGTGAGCTGAGCTGAGCTGGGGTGATCTGGGGTGAGCTGTACTGGGGTGAGCTGAGCTGGGGTGAGCTGAGCTGAAATGGGGTGAGCTGAGCTGAGCTGAGCTGCTCGGGGGTGAGCTGAGCTGAGCTGGGGTGATCTGGGGTGAGCTGTACTGGGGTGAGCTGAGCTGGGGTGAGCTGGCGGTGAGCTGAGCTGATCTGGGGGTGAGCCCAGCTGAGCTGGGGTGAGCTGAGCTGGGGTGAGCTGAACTGAGCTGGGATGAGCTGGGGTGAACTGGGATGAGCTGAGCTGGGATGAGCTGGGGTGAGCTGAGCTGAGCTGGGGTGAGCTGAGGTGAGCTGAGCTGGGGTGAGCTGAGCTGAGCTGGGGTGAGCTGAGCTAGGATGAGCTG